CACAAGGATGGTAAAACATCCATGTGTCCCCTGGGCAATGTCCTTGCAGACGGCCAATTCCCTCACACCAGAAGCGACTTGCAGTTTCTCTAGTCACTCCTGACATGACAAAAAAAAATCCAATGTTTTCACTTATCCAGCATTCTACCAGCTCGTTTATGTTGGATAAGCAAGACTCTATTATTACTTATTTTCGTCATTTTTATCCCGCCCATATCAGCTCGAAGGCAAGTCAGCAACAATTAAGGTAAAGGTAAAAGTTGTCCCCTGACATTAAGTCAAGTCATGTCTGACTCTGAGGTGTGGTGCTCATCTCCATTTCTAAGCCAAAGAGCCAGCATTGTCCATAGACACCTCCAAGGTCATGTGGCCGGCATGACTGCGTGGGGCGCCATTACCTTCCCGCCAGAGTGGTACCTATTGATCTACTCACATTTGCATGTTTTCGAATTGCTAGGTTGGCAGAAGCTAGGGCTGACAGCGGAAGCTCACGCCGCTCCCCGGAATCAAACCTGCGACCTTTCGGTCAACAAGCTCAACAGCTCAGTGCTTTAACACACCTGGGGCTCCCAGCAACAATTAGATGCCATATATAAAAATACATACATAAGTAAAAAGCCAAAAAAATCACAATACATTTAAAAACCATAAAAACAATAAACAGTGAAAAATATTTTTTAAAATGATGCCTTCTTGTTCAATTCCTCAACCGTTCCATCATCTTAGCCATTCCTAGTTCATTTTCCGATTTGCGTTTATCTGGTCATGCTGAGGTTCTAAACGCTTGCTGAAAGAGCCAGGTTTTCACTCTTTTTTGAAAGGTCAGGAGGGAGGGGGCCGATCTAATATCCCTAGTCAGGGAGTTCCATAGCTGAGAGGCCACCACAGAGAAGGCCCTGTCTCTCATCCCCACCAGACGTGCTTGTGAAGCAGGCGGGATCGAGATCAGGGCTTCCTCATACAATCTCAATTTCCTGGAAGTTTCATAGGGAGAGATACATTCGGATAGATACGCAGGGTTGGACTCTACTGTATAATACATGTGTTTCAAAACCTGAAATGTTGCTACCCTCACCATTAAGCCTCCACATTTGCTGTTTTGTTGGGGGAAGAGGGTTGGGGGGGGGGGTTGCATATTTAATTTAAAACACTCTCTCTAAAAATCTCTAGGTCTTCTGATGTGACTCTATAGACAACTACCTCCAGTCATATTGGAAGAACTGAATATTTCTAATAAGAACATCTCTGTAGGAATCTGTAGGTTTTCCACTGTGATTCCATGCTGGGCAGAGGCGACCCTAGGTAATTTTCAACTATAAGCAAACAGTATTTTGCCCTCCCCCCCCCCCCAACCAATCACTGATATATATTTTCTGTTCGTCGTGGGAGTTCTGTGTGCCATATTTGGTTCAATTCCATCATTGCTGGAGTTCAGAATGCTCTTTGATTGTAGGTGAACTATACATCCCAGTAACTACAACTCGCATATGTCAAGGTCTATTTCCCCCCAAGAGCGCCTCAAGAGCGCCCCTGGGAAAAATCAACTATACTGCAAATGCTTACTTTGCGTAATGGGTTGAGCCGCCCCTGATGCTGGGTGACCAAGAAAACCTAGAGAGTCCACATTGCTATATTTTCCAGTTCAAAACAGAAAATGTGGGATTTTATTCAATTGTGTGAAAGGGGCCTGAGAGAAAAGGGTGGAGGAGAAATGATTTCTAAGGGTACAGCTAACTGTAGAATTAACACACTTTGACACCCCCTTCACTGCCATGACTCAGTTCTATGGAAACACTGGAGTTGTAGCTTTGTAATCCCTTTAGCCTTCCCTACCAGACAGTCCTGATTGGTCACCAAACGACAACTTTCAGGATCCTACAACATTGAACCATGGCAGTTCAAGTGGTGTGAAAGTGCATTAATGCTACAGTGTGGATAACCCCCTGAGGTGTACATTAGCTACACAGCTGGAATGCTGTGTGAGCCAAAATGATTTATTGCCTTCCCTGGGTCACATGAGCCTGAGGACATTTTCACATTTTCTGAGGAAGGAACTGGAAAAACCGCCTCTGAATATCCCTTGCCTAAGAAAACCCAATGAAATTTGTGAGATTGCCATAAGTGGACAGGTGCGTGCATACACACTCTCTAATATAGAGCATCTCAAGCTAGGTATCAATGTGTATCAAGATATGTATTTATCAGGGATTGTACCATATTTGTGCGCAATGGCTACGTTTGTTTCTTCCACACACTTCTGCTCAAGGGACTCAAGTCATAGATGGGGGACCATTTTCTGTAGTGCTCACCTAATACAATACTTAATTAAACCACTTTTTTTTTCTGCGACTTGAGAAACTGCAAGTTGCTTCTGGTGTGAGAGAATTGGCCATCTGCAAGGACGTTGCCCAGGGGATGCTGGGGTGTTTTGACATTTTACTATCCTTGTCGGAGGCTTCTTTCATGTCCCCGCATGGGGAGCTGGAGCTGACAGAGGGAGCTCAACCCACTCTCCCCAGATTAAACCACTGACCTGTCAGCAAACCTACTAGCACAAGGGTCTAACCCATTGCACCACCGGGGGTCATTAAAATACCTCGAAATTAAGTTCATTGTATTCCTAATGTGTTTTAAAACAAATAGTGATGTCTTTATTCAGTTATATGTTGTTGTTGTTTTCATGGAGTCCTGTGCCCTTAAACCCAGTGAAAGTGGAGGACTGACTATCTTTCCAGCAACATAATTTGTGTGTGTATGTGTGTGTGTGTGTAGAGCTGGGAACAGCAAGTAATTTCCATTTACATTGGGGGGTGGAATAATAATATTGATTTATGGCTGTATCTTACTTGTAGTGGTTTTTATGGTGGGAGTTTTTCGTATGTACTTCTCCAAAAAGTCATCACCATTGTATCTTCTAGGTATCTCTTTAAACAGAAAATGCAAAAGTATTCAGTTTCTCAAGGCCACATATATAATTCTGTTGACAAACAAAATACAAGCATTTCTGAGAACAGCCAAACTTGTGCTTTGCTGTTTCTTCAGTTTGAAAAAAGTGATAGCTCTCAATAAAGTAGTTGTGTTCAGCTGGATCCACACTACTCTGCAATGCAGTTTGAAGGGGGACATGAGAGAAGCCTCCCCACAGAATTGCAACATATTTGGGCATCCTCTGGGCAACGTCTTTGTAGACAGTTGATTCTCTCACACCAGAAGCAAACAGAAGCGACTTGCAGTACTTTGCTACTCTGCTGCTGAATATGCATGCCAAGTGTGGAATACATCTCACCACACTAAAAAAGTGTATATGGCTCTTAATTAGACATGCCGCATTATCACAGGAAGTCTGCGCCCAACATAACTGGTATTGCACCACCTGACATCCACTGGAAAGTAGCAGCCAATAATGAAAGGACCAAGGCAGTGACATCTCTGGCCCATCCCCTGTTTGGATATCAGCCAGCACTCCAACAACTTAAATCAATAAATAGTTTTCTAAGATCTACAGAGAAACTTGCAGGAACACCTCAGCAAGCAAGAGTCCAAAAGTGGCAAGCTAAAACCCAGAAAGTCAATCCATGGCTGATACCAAATGAGATACTCCCTCCTGGGCACTCAGAAGTCTGAGTAACTTGGAAGGCGCTAAACAGACTGCGCTCTGGCACCATGAGATGCAGAGCCAACCTTAAGAAATGGGGCCACAAAGTGGAATCCTCGACATGCGAGTGTGGAGAAGAGCCAACCACTGACCACCTGCTGCAATGCACCCTGAGCCCTGCCACATGCACAACGGAGGACCTTCTTACAGCAACACCAGAGACACTCCAAGTGGCCAGCTACTGGTCAAAGGAAATGTAATGTTTTCAAATACATTACAACTTGGTTCGCTTCTGATACAATAAATAAATAATGCAGTTTGAATGGCAGCAAACAGGATTATATGGGTCTACACTGACCATTTGATACAGTTCCAAACTGTATTATATGGCAATGAAGATCCAGCCTTCAGACCCATCTGCACTGCCATAAAATGCAGTTTAAAACTGAACTGGATTATAGGAGTCTGCACTGACCATACAAGACACGCTTTCAGTTTCTTGCAGCATAAAAAACAGGAAGGGGGACAATTAAAATAAATGTGGCAGCGCCTTTAAGACTAACTAATTTTTACTTTCACATGAGTTTTTGTGGATGAAAATCCACTTCTTCAGAAGCAATACCTTTGAAATTTTCAGCCAAGGGTATAAGTATATGTCGTGATTTATAATTTAATTGACAGCTGTATGTCATTAATGTTATGTTTGATTTCTGTATGTGAAGCATTAAATTTTGACAAAATTATGTTGGAAACCACTTTAAGTCCCTCGCTGGGGTGAGAAAAATGGCATATAATTGTACTAAATATACATATGTATACAATAAAAGAAGTTGGACCTAAAAAGATGCAAATCATATCCCTTGCCCCAAATTTTCAAGTCTGGTGGAGGAGATACAAGTCTTTCAGATATTAATAATAGTCACTTCATGCTGATGAGTGAAAAGGATAAATCTATTTGCCTAAAAATAAATTTCCAAGTTTCAAAATTATCCAAGATGACTCCTGTTATTATGTGTGAAGTAGAAAGGACTCTTGTTTACAATTTGTGTAGTGTGCCTTTGTGTCAGAGACACAGTGCCATTATCTTTGTTCAAACCACTGCTAACGGATTGGAATTTATGAACATACAGAATTCAATTCAGCAGTTTGAGCTGCAGTAACCCTTGTGAAAATACAAACAACTTAGTCTTAAAGGTGCTGCCATGTATCATTTTTTTCCTTCCCCCCCCCCCCCCCACTCTTCTCCTCAAAATGTGTGAGTTGTTATCCATCTAGTGAAATTCCAGAGCTCATTGGGCTTCCTGATAATTATGTCTTCTTGCACCCAGGCATTTTATTTTGCAACTTCACCCATTGATTCCCCTGTGTGCTTTGGCAATATAAATCATAGAGATGTTTACTTTTGAGTTCACAACAGTAGCGTAAACGACGATTGCACCATCCGGCTGGATAATCATCCTTGCTGCAGGATGTTGCGCATCGACATTTCGGTGCTCTGGTACTTCTGGGGAAACCTTGAACAAAAACAAAACAGCCATGATCAAGAACCCATCCTTCACTATTTTCTACATGATGACAACATCATCATTATCTTAGTAAATGACAAATATGAAGAAATGTAATTTGTCCCTTTTACAGACACAACAGAGTTTTTTCCACTTTCATAAAAGTCTTGGGCCAGAGGTTTAGCACAGCTGGTAAATCATCAGCAATTATAAGATCTATCAACCAAAAGGTTGCAAGTTCGAAGCCCCAGGTTAGCATGAGCTGCCAATTGTCAGCCTAGCTCATTGTTTACCTAAGCAATTCAAAAACAGCTTTAGCTGTGATTAGAGAAATTAGGTACCGCTAAATAGTGGGGGAGGTGTTTTACAACATTATAAAGAAAGAAGATCAGAAAATGCTGGGTGACCAAAAGGAAGGAGGAAGTCCTGACGGCTCTTTGTCATAGAGGAAAGAGCAACAGCACCCCTTGGACTCGAGCCCAGCCTTCCATGGCACCTCCTTCTGTTCTGTCCGTATATTGTCTATACAAAGTGGCATTGAATGTTTGCCGTGTATGTGTACTGTGATCTGCCCTGAGTCCCCTTTGGGGTGAGAAGGGCGGAATATAAATAAAGTGTTGTTGTTGTTGTTGTTGTTGTTGTTATTAGCATTGAATGTTTGCCGTGTATGTTTACTGTAATCTGCCCAGTCCACTTCGGGGTGAGAAGGGTGGAATATAAATAAAGTGTTGTTGTGGTGGTGGTGGTTATTTTTGTTGTTATTATTATTGTTGTTATATTGCACCCCTAAACCCAGGAAATGTTTGGTGCTGACTATTGTTACTTAATAGCTGAAAACAAAACAGTGAAATATTTCAAGACACAGGTCTAAAATGCAAATAGGGTATCCATATCTAAATATATACAAAGTCAAAGTATGTATGTCCCTATGCCTGCCTGTACCACAAAGGCTTTTTCTAGGTGAAGTGGCCCTCTGTCATGTCACTGGATTGGCTATTAATAGGTATAGGTGATGTCCTTGGGAAAGAAATATGACATTCATATGAGGGGAAGGGGGAAGGACGGAAAGAGCCACAAAGAGCCATGCTGCCATGGAGACATTGTGTGGCAGACCCTCTCAGAGCTGGAGAAAGGAGAAAGGAGAGGGAAGAAAAGAAAGAGAGAAACAGAGAAAAAAAGGAAAAAGAGTGGGAAGGAGGGGAAAGGGAAGAAAGTAAAAAAAGGAAAAGAAATAAAGAAGAGAAGGGAAAGGGGAGAAAGGTTAAAGGAAGGGAAAGAGAAATGAGATATGAAAGCAGTGGACAGCAGCCTTTTTGAACCCAGGCAACTCTGGTTATATGTGCTATTGTGAAACGGACTTTATTTTAAGTTTTTCATTATTCATGATTATTTAATGGCTCAGAGCAGGAGACTCCATGAGCTAGTTATACAATGAATATTTTTTTGCTTAGATGCGTCGGACAAGTAATTTCGTTTGCCTTACGCAAGCAGTTCTTACCTAAAGCCATGATGGGAGTTGAAGGTGTGCCAGGAAAGCCAAGAAATGGATCAGGAGGTAAGTTGCCATCCTCATAAACACTCCCTTTAAACACAAAAGGTCAAAAAATTCAGCCTCTCAAGACACTGAAACATGAAAGCAGACCACCCTCTTTGCCCATGTTTTCAATGGACATAGTCTGTCCACTGCCTTGTATTAATACATTCGCTTCTACCTGCCCTCATACTTCTTACCTGTTACAGTGAAAGGATATGGAGGTATTTTGGGGAAATCATGATACGACGGTGGAACTAAAGAGAAATTAACAAAGGTACGTATTAGAATAAATCTCAGGAGCTCAAAAGCTTGCAACCTCAAAAGTTCACTCAAAAATATTAAACAAGGAACATCTAAAATGAAGAAGTCATCTACTCTTCTTACAGCAGTACATAGGGTGAAGAAAATGGCACCTTGTCATTGAAGCCATCATATTCATCATATAAAAAGGTTAACTAGCATTGGACCCAACACTTTCCAACTTTTTTTTTGTCGTGTCAGGAACGACTTGAGAAACTGCAAGTCGCTTCTGGTGTGAAAGAATTGGCCGTCTGCAAGGACGTTGCCCAGGGGACACCCGGATGTTTTGATGTTTTACCATCCTTGTGGGAGGCTTCTCTCATGTCCCTGCATGGGGAGCTGGAGCTGACAGAGGGAGCTCATCCGTGCTCTCCCCGGATTCGAACCTATAACCTGTCGGTCTTCAGTCCTGCCGGCACAAGGGTTTAACCCACTGCACCACACAGGAGACAGAGGGAGGCAGCAGCACTCAACCACAATTTGGGAGGGATGGAGACATTTGTGTAATCAAAATTGTGAAGATTGTTTTGGTGGAAACATCTACCCAAATAAAGATATAAAGTAAAATTTCTGGTAGAGATCTGGCTTCAAAGCACCTAATCCAGTGGTTCTGAACATTGGGTCCCCAGATGTTTTGGCTTTCAACTCTCAGAAATCCTAACAGCCTCTCAAGACCCTGAAACATGAAAGCAGACCACCCTCTTTGCCCATGTTTTCAATGGACATAGTCTGTCCACTGCCTTGTATTAATACATTCGCTTCTACCTGCCCTCATACTTCTTACCTGTTACAGTGAAAGGATATGGAGGTATTTTGGGGAAATCATGATACGACGGTGGAACTAAAGAGAAATTAACAAAGGTACGTATTAGAATAAATCTCAGGAACTCAAAAGCTTGCAACCTCAAAAGTTCACTCAAAAATATTAAACAAGGAACATCTAAAATGAAGAAGTCATCTACTCTTCTTACAGCAGTACATAGGGTGAAGAAAATGGCACCTTGTCATTGAAGCCATCATATTCATCATATAAAAAGGTTAACTAGCATTGGACCCAACACTTTCCAACTTTTTTTTTTTGTCGTGTCAGGAACGACTTGAGAAACTGCAAGTCGCTTCTGGTGTGAGAGAATTGGCCGTCTGCAAGGGCGTTGCCCAGGGGACACCTAGATAATTTGATGTTTTATCATCCTTGTGGGAGGCTTCTCTCATGTCCCCGCATGAGGAGCTGGAGCTGATAGAGGGAGCTCATCCGCCTCTCCCTGGATTCGAACCTGCGACCTGTCGGTCCTTCAGTCCTGCCGGCACAGGGGTTTAACCCACTGCGCCACAGCATTTCTCATCTTGAGTATCGATGGGTGGGAAAGGGTCACTAGGAAAAGACTGATGTCACTTTGTATTTCCTCTGACTCTGTCATGAATTCAGTGCACTTTCCCATTAAACAAAAAAGGTCAGAATTTAGCCTCTTAAAATTAGAGATGGCAAGAAATTTTGCAAATATTGGAAAAGATAATATACTGCATTATTTAGCAATGTAGATCCAGACTGTGGCATAACCATCGCAAGGTCTACATTTCCAACAACATGCAAACCCAGGAGTTAAGAAAAGATTATTAGAACCCATACATTCAGTATACAAAAAGCTTGCAACAGGTAGACCAATACATTCCAACATTGTGAACCACCCTGTGTCCCCTTCGGGGTTGAGACGGGCGGTATACAAATACCACAAATAAATAAATAAACCATATTTTACATAAACTATTGATGGATGGGAAATGCTGAATGTTGCTTTTTATTTCCTCTGCCTGTACAATGAGTTCTGTGCATTTCCCCTTTTAAAGAGAGAGGATACAATTTTAGTTCTCAAGATCAAATATGAAAACAAAATATGCAGATGTTTTCTTTCTTTCTTCCCCCACTTTCTAGAATGAAATTCTCAAACCACAATTGGGGGGGGGGGGTGGTTAATAAAAGCATGCACCAGGGTTGAACATTTCTTACATATATTATCAGTGGATGGGAGAGCCTCAGAAGGAAAACGGTGATATTCCTTTTTCTTTCCTCTGCCTCTATAATGAGTTCCATACACTTCCCCTTTAAAGAGAAAAAAAAATCTTATCTCTCAGAATCAGAGATAGAATACCTTTCTGCAAATATTTGAAAATACTCAAACAGTGGCAAATAGCTTTTCTTGAGCATCAGAAATCCCTGACATTTTTTGAGCAAAAACCAGCATTCTTAATACAAAAATATTATTCTCCATTCAGAAAATGCTTTTACATGTACAAGAAAAGCTGTTTTCTGGCTCCTAAAATTCACATTTTCTGCAGGGAAAACTATACATGCAATGTTTACATGGGATCAATCTGAAATGGTTAGTTCTTGAACACTTTTTTGAAGTGGGAAAAAAACTCCTTAATTGTTTTTTTTCCCTCTTCTTTAAGAATGAAATCTTAGTTCTTGAACAATTTTTTTGAAGTGGGAAGAAAACTCTTTAACTGCTTTTTTTTCTTTTCCTTTTTTTCTCTTCTTTAAGAATGAAATGGAGAAATTACACTGTTTAGCCGGTATTGCACCACCTGACATCTGCTGGGGAGTAGCAACCAATAGTGAAAGGACCAAGGCAGTGACATCTCTGGTCCATCCCCTGTTTGGGTATCAGTCAGCATGCCAATGACTTAAATCAAGAAATAGTTTTCTAAGATCTACAGAGAAACTTGTAGAAACACCTCAGCAAGCGAGAGCCCAAAAGTGGCAGGCTCAAACCCAGAACCTCAATCAATGACTGGTACCAAATGAGAGACTCCCCTCTGGGCACACAAAAAACCGGGCAACTTGGAAGGCACTGAACAGACTGTGCTCTGGCACCACAATATGCAGAGCCAACCTTAAGAAATGGGGCTACAAAGGGGAATCCACGACATGCGAGTGTGGAGAAGAGCAAACCACAAACCACCTATTGCAATGCAGTCTTAGCCTTGCCACATGCACAGTGGAGGACCTTCTTGAAGCAACACCAGAGGCACTCCAAGTGGCCAGTTACTGGTCAAAGGACATTAAATAGAATACCAAGTTTGCAAACTTTATGTTTTGTTTGTTTGCTTGTTTTTAATGCAATACAACTGTTCTGGTTCACTCAAAACACAATGTTGGGGAAAAGAATAATCTGCAATAAAACTAAGGTGTTTTACATGTTCCATGTGCAGTCTGAACTCCATTGCATAGCAAGGAAGGGAGGGAGGGAAAATAATTTGGCTAGTATAGATCCCTACATACAGTCTGAACTGCATTGAAGTGAATTACAAGGCTCTAGACTGACCATAACTGCAGTCCATGACAGAACCATGGTATGAACTAACAAGCACCCCTTGTGTTGAAGGGGTGCTTCAACACAAGTACATTCTATACATTCACTAACTTGTTTCTATTCATGTCTAATAATGGGAACTGTGCTATGCTTTCTTAAAACCAACATTATCACCAATGTCTACATTCCAACAACAGAGAAATCCAGGGGGCAAGACGGGATTATTGGGCTCCATATACCCAGTATATGAAAAGCTTCCATCAAGAGGGATGTTTCTTACCTGGATTATAGGAGGATGTGAAAGACTCATAAGGAGAAGGATGTTTTTTATTTCCTCTGTCTCTATGATGAGACCCATGCACTTTCCCTTTGAAGAGAAAATATTTAAAATTTAGTCTCTCCAGATTAGAGATGAAACCTTTTAGCCAATATTTGACAATACTCAGTGATCAAGAAACACCATTAAAGCCTTGGCAGACGGTGCAAAAAGAATCTGCGAACCCCACCTCCTCCAAGATGAACCGAACCACCTAAACTGGGCTTTACAGGCCAATGGAGACTCCACCTCAGACATCAGAAGAGCTGCAAGACCAAGAACAAGCCACGAGAGTAAAGACAAAGATCCACCCAGAGGGAAAGTGTTCTTGCCATACATCAAGGGAAGCACTGACCGCATAGGGAAGCTGATAAGGAAACACAACATACAAACTATCTACAGACCCACCAAGAAAATCCAACAAATGCTACGTTCAGCAAAGGACAAGAGGGATCCTCTCACTTCTGCAGGAGTGTACCGTGTACCATGCAGCTGTGGACAAGTCTACATAGGGACCACCAAACGCAGCAGCATTGCCCAAACACGAGTCAAGGGACATGAAAGGCACTGTAGACTACTTCAGCCAGAGAAATCAGCCATAGCAGAGCACCTGATGAACCAACTTGGACACAGCAAATTATTTGAAAACACAGAAATGCTGGACCACTCTCACAGCAACCATGTCAGACTACACAGAGAAGCCATTGAAATCCAGAAGCATGTGGACAATTTCAACAGAAAGGAGGAAACCATGAAAATGAACAAAATCTGGCTACCAGTATTTAAAAAACTCTAAAATTAAAACTGCAAAACAGCAGAGGGAAAACAATCAGGGACATCTAATCACCTCTCAACAAAAGATTGCTCCAGGCACTGCCAGGCTATCAAATGCTAATCAAGGTGGTCAGTTGAAACATTCACACCTAGCTCCAGCAGACAAGAGTTCCTTGACCCACCCTGGTCTTTTCCACAGATATATTTTCCTAGTTCCAACAGACCTAACTACCTCTAAGGATGCTTGCCATAGATGCAGGCGAAACGTCAGAAGAGAATGCCTCCAGAACATGGCCATATAGCCCGAAAAAACCTACAACAACCCAGAAATTACACTTTTTGGCCAGTATTGCACCACCTGACATCCGCCGGGGAGTAGCAGTGACATCTCTGGCCCATCCCTGTTTGGGTATCAGCCAGCAGGCCAATGACTTAAATCAAGAAATAGTTTTCTAAGATCTACAGAGACACTCACTGGAACACCTCAGCAAGCAAGAGTCCAAAAGTGGCAGGCTCAAACCCAGAACCTCAATCAATTACTGGTACCAAATGAGAGACTCCCTGGTACCAAATGAGAGATTCCCTTCTGGGCACTCAAAAAACACTGAACAGACTGCTCTCTGGCACCACGAGATGCAGAGCCAACCATAAGAAATGGGGCTACAAAGTGGGATCCACGACATGTGAGTGTGGAGAAGAGCAAACCACTGACCACCTGCTGCAATGCAACCTGAGCCCCGCCACATGCACAATGGAGGACCTTCTTGTGGCAACACCAGAGGCACTCCAAGTGGCCAGATACTGGTCAAAGGACATTTAATCAACTGCCAAGCTTGCAAACTTTCGGTTTTGTTTGTTTGTCTGTTTTTAATGCAATACAACTGTTTTGGTTTGCTCAAAACACAATGTTGGGGAAAAGAATAATCTGCAATAAAACTAAGGCTGTCTTACATGTTAAATGTGCAGTCTGAACTCTAGGGCTGGGCGATTTTGTTCGTTAATTTCGTAATTCGTTATTGATTCATATTTAAATTAGCTTACGAACCGATATTGAACCATTTAGGAGCAACTAAAAATCGAAACGAATTTTTCAATTCATTTCGTAATTGTTTCGAAATCGTTTTGAAATTGTTTCGAAATCATTTCGAAATTGTTTCATTATTACTTCCGTATGTCTGGTGCAAGTGTTATAGTTGTTATTTGTTTTCTTAGTGATAAAAAAATAAATTATCACACCAACAGTCAACAACAGAGGGAGAGGGAAGGTTCAGAAGTCCCCCCTGTCCCATTTGGAGCTTTTTTTAGCGTATTGCGCAGTCGTGTCCGCTATTAACGAATCGATTCGTAATTGTTTCGTAATTGTTTCATAATTTCCGAAATTTCATATATTTCGAACTTTTTTAAAGAAAAATTTCGGAATTCTTTTAAAAAACGAAACGCAAAAACCCCCTAAAAACGAATCGAGTTTAGAAAAAAAAATTTCCGTGGTTACCCAGCCCTACTGAACTCCATTGCATAGCATGATAGGTAGGTAGGTAGGTAGGTAGGTAGGAAGGAAGGAAGGAAGGAAGGAAGGAAGGAAAAATCATTTGGCTAGTGTAGATCCCTACATACAGTCAGAACTGCATTGAAGTGAATTGCAGGGCTCTACACTGACCATACATGCCATTCAAACTGCCTTATTTGGCGGCAGTGTAGATCCAGTCCATGATAGAACCATAGTATGAACTAACAAGAGGTGTTTCAACACAAAAACATCCTATACATTCACTAACTTGTTTCTAATCATGTCTAATAATGGGAACTGTGCTATGCTTTCTTAGAACCAACATTATCACCAATGTCTACATTCCAACAACAGAGAAATCCAGGGGGCAAGCCGGGTTTATTGGGCTCCATATATCCAGTATATGAAAAGCTTCCATCAAGAGGGATGTTTCTTACCTGGATTATAGGTGGATGTGAAAGACTCATAAGGAGAAGGATGTTTTTTATTTCCTCTGTCTCTATGATGAGTCCCATGCACTTTCTCTTTAAAGAAAAAAATATTAAAATTTAGTTTCCCCAGATCATAGATGGAAACCTTTTAGCCAATATTTGGCAATACTCAGTGATCAATAACATTTTTCTTGAGCACCGCAAAACTCTGACAAGAATGATTTTGATGGATGAAAATGTTCAGGGCTCGGGATGCATTCTGGACAAAGGCCAAATATTTTTGTTTAAGAGAAAACAGAAATTTCTATACAAAAATATTTTCTGTGCAGAAATCGCTATTGCTTGTATGGGAAATATTCTTGTTGGGACAAAAAATGCAATTTTCTATGCAGGAGGGGAGAACTATGAGTCTATAATGCTAACTATTTGTCAATTTTGCACAAGTTCAATCTGAAATGAAAACCCCTTAATTGCTTTCCCGGTGTTTTTTTAAGTGAAACCCTCAAACTACTCACTTCTAATTACATCTAATAGTGGAAATTATGCTATGGTTTCTTAAAAACAACATTATCACCTATGTCCCTTGCCCCAAATTTTCAACAGTCTGGGTGAAATTATACAAGATTTTCAGATATTAACAATTACCATGCATTGCTGTGGCCCAGTCTGTGTGTTTGTGTTTTGTGTGTGTATGTATGTGTACATGTGTAAAAAGGTAAAGGTAAAGGTAGTCCCCTGATATTAAGTCCAGTCATGTCTGACTCTGGGGTGTGGTGCTCATCTCAATTTCTAAGCCGAAGAGCCAGCGTTGTCCGTAGACACCTCCAAGGTCATGTGGCCGGCATGACTGCATGGAGCACCGTTACCTTCCCCCCGGAGCGGTACCTATTGATCTACTCACATTTGCATGTTTTCGAACTGCTAGGTTGGCAGAAGCTAGGGCTGACAGCGGAAGCTCACGCCGCTCCCCGGAATTGAACCTGCGACCTTTCGATCAACAAGCTCAGCAGCTCAGTGCTTTAACCCACTGCGCCACCGGGGGCTATATGTGGTTTTGTGAATGTGTTGTAATGTGGTGTTTTTGCTTTTAAAGTCTCTTCTGCTGTGTTTTTCAGTGTTTTGATGAGTGATGGTCACTCCTTGGCCTGATATGTGTATTGTGTCCAAATTTGGTGTCAATTGGTCCAGTGGTTTTTGAGTTATGTTAGTCCCACAAACTAACATTAAATTTTATGTATATAGTCACTTAGTGCTGATGTGTGAAAGGGATAAATCTGTTTGCCAAAAATTAATTTTCCAGGGTTCAAAATTCTCCAAGAAGGCTCTTGTTATTAAGTGTGAAGTAGAGAGGACTCTTCTATACAATTTGTGTAGTGTGTCTTTGCGTCAAAGACACAATGCCATTATCTTTGTTCATACCACTGCTAATGGATTAGAATTTGTGAACATATAGAATTCAATTCAGCAATTTGAGTCCCCAGTAACCCACTTAAAAATACAAACCACTTAGTCTTACAGGTGCTACCATGTATCTTTTTTCTTTTTTCCTCACCCTTCTCCTCAAAATAGGTGAGTTGTTATCCATCTAGTGAAATTCCAGAGCTCATTGGGCTTGCTGATAGTTCTGTCTTCTTGCATCCAGTGCATTTAATTTTGTAACTTCACCCATAGATTCCCCTGTGTGCTTCTGCAATATCAATCATAGAGATATTTACCTCTGATTTTACAGCAGTGGAGATAACCATGAGTGCATGCGGAGTCTGCATATTCATTGGATGAACAGAATCGTTTGCATCGACATTTCTTTATGCTGGTGCTTTTGGGGTAATCTTCAACAAAAACAAAACAGTCGTGTTCAAACACCAATCCTTCATTATTTTCTATATTATTTGTCACTGAGAAATCCACCATAACATCATAATTATCTTCGTAAATGAGAAATATGAAGAAATGCACTCTGAACGTATCTCCTGCTATGAACCATCACGAAGCTTAAGATCATCAGGAGAGGCCCAGCTCTTGATCCCACCACTCTCACAAACGCGGTTGGTGGGGACGAGAGACAGGGCCTTCTCGGCAGTGGCCCCCGTCTGTGGAACTCTCTCCCTAAGGATATCAGGTTGGCCACCTCCCTCCTGTCTTTTAGAAGACAACTGAAAACCTGGCTCTGAAGCCAGGCATTTGATTAGAGGCCAGCAGCAACAGGAAAAGGAAATTTGGATTTTGCGATATGGATTCTCCCACCTCGGCTTGGTTTTACTAGCACGTTAATCTATTAATTTATTGTTAAATATTACTGATGATGTTGTATAATGTTTTAAAATGATGTTATTGTGAATTATAGTTTTTATGGCATTTATGCTGTTAGCATCCTCTGATGCTCATGTGAGGCCGCTCTGAGTCCCCCTTGTGGGGAGAAGGGCAGGATATAAATATATGAAATATATTTGTCCCTTTTACAGACACAACAGAGCTTAAGAAAGCCAAGAAGGTTATAAGATTACAGCCTGAGTGTTGTAGTTCAGCATGATGGTAACGTTACTACTACTGGTAAAAGGGAGAAGAGGTCTGCGCAGGTGTTGGAGGAGAAACAGCAGCAAAAACGGATTAGGGAGATAATCATGGCTCCAAGTGATTCTGAGATGTTTGAGGGCTTCTCCGATTGCGAAATGGGGGATGGGGAGGAGAGCAGGGGAGTAAAGTGGGCTACTCGCGATCAAGAGTCCAATGAAGAGCTTCAAAGGAAGCGTATTCGTGAAATACTTAGCGCTCCTATAGAGGATGAGAACTTCATGGGATTTGAAAGGAGTGATGGGTCTGGGAGTGATATGGGGGAGGAGGATGAGCTGGATTGGACCCGTGTTCAGGAGATTAGGGACATGTGTAACCAACCCACCTCCAGTGATGAATTTGAGGGGTTCACAGGGGATTGGCAACCGGGGAGCACTTGGCAAGACCTAAGTCTTGACAGATGCTGGCAGAGGTGGAGGGATAGGCGCTCGGGTTCAGCTGAGAGCGATGAGGAAAGGGTGGGGATAAAAGTGGGTTTTGATTGTATGGCTCTTTGCAGAAGGCAAAGTGTCTCTTTTGGGATGTGAATCTTTGTGACTGCCAACTCTCGAGCTTGGGTCCTTGGACTACAGATTCCTGTGTCCCTGCGTTCCTGTGTTCCTGCGTTCCTGTGTTTACCTCAACTCAACGGCTTGACTTTGGACTGGTTTGACCACACTTTTGCTATCTGGACTTAAACAACTTGTTAACTTTGTGTTTTGACCTTGCAACGTTTTTTGGACTTCATTTTGTGCCTCATGTTCTTGTGCTTTTGAACTGTGTGAATTTTGGAGCAGATTGCTGAACATTTTTGTTAACCCAGATTAAACAGCGGTATAATCCGGGTTATATTTGAGTTACTCGTATCATCTCGTTTTTGATGCCAATTTACTGCCAGAGCTTACTGCACTGAATTTAAGTGCTTAACAGACTTCTTTTTGTGCCATAAAACTGTGTTTGAACCTTTTCCTTTGTGTTTGGCTTTACTGAGGCTTCTGGGTCTTGACACTGTGCTGGATGGAGTTACACTCCCTTTGAAGGCACAGGTTTGCAGCTTGGGAGTCCTCCTGGACTCATCGCTGAGACTGGGACCTCAGGTTGTGGCGGTGGCTAGCCAGGCTTTTGCACAATTAAAATTTGTGTGCCAGTTGAACCTGTACCTTGGGAAGTCAGACTAAGCCACAGTGGTCCACACTCTTGTTTACATTCAGGATTTGTGTGTGTGTGTGTCAGGAGTGACTTGAGAAAATTGCTTCTAGTGTGAGAGAATGGGCAGTCTGCAAGGACATTGCCCAGGGGATGCCTGGATGTTTTGATGTTTTACCATCCTTGTGGGAGGCTTCTCTCACGTTCCCATGTGGGGAGCTGGAATGGAAGCCTTTTTGGTATGTGCAATCAATTAAAAAAAGTTTCAAAAGTCATTAATAAATTTGGGGGCACTACCGTTAAGTTGAGACAAAGTTGAAGTACTTTGGCCACATCATGAGGAGACAGGAAAGCCTAGAGAAGACAATTATGATGGGGAAAGTGGAAGGCAAAAGGAAGAGGGGCCGACCAAGGGCAAGATGGATGGATGGCATCCTTGAAGTGACTGGACTGACCTTGAGCGAGCTGGGGGTGGTAACGGCCGACAGGGAGCTCTGGTGTGGGCTGGTCCATGAGGTCACGAAGAGTCGGAGACGACTGAACGAATGAACAACAACAACAACACCGTTTAGTTTCTAAAGTGTTTCTAAAGTATAGTCAGTGAAACATTTCATTACCATAACGAAAGTAGCAAAATTTCCAGCATTACAAAGTTAAAATGAAAAAGGATTGGTGAAGTTGTGATTCAATATTTTAGGCGCAGGCCACACTCACAAGTCAGATATCACTTCAGAAGTACAGATTTAACAAATTTTAATACGACTTACAACACTTTTGACATTTTTGCACAAGCCTAATATCCAGTTTATGAAAAGCATAAATCAAGGGGAATGTTTCTTACCTGGATTATAGGTGGATGACAAAGTCTCATAAGTAGAGTGATGTTTTTTCTTTCCTCTGTCTCTATTGTGAGTTCTGTGTGCCTTCCCTTTAAAGAGAAAAATATTAAAATTTAGTCCCTCAAGATCAGAGATGGAAACTGTGCCGTCACACCCAGATACTATAAAGTTAAAACTAAGATGTGCTTCTCTCTTTATCTGGGCGAACTGCGGGTGCCTTTCTTTGAAGCTCCAGATTCTCAGCAACTGAGGCCAGTCAAGAATTGAACATCAACAGAACATTTATTTTACAAAGTCCTTGGCAGACTTGGCACAGCTTGATGAAGTTACAAACACAAACAGCCAATTTGGGAAACCATATAGATGTTATTTCTTTCCTTTTTCCTTCAGTTACCGAGGTTATTTTGTTGTTGTTGTTTTTGTGTGTCAGGAGCGACTTGAGAAACTGCAAGTCACTTCTGGTGTGAGAAAATTGGCCGTCTACAAGGGCAATGCAAACCAAGCTCCTGGAAAATGGAACAGAAACCTTTTGCCCAGGGGACACCCGGATGATTTGATGTTTTTATCATCCTTGTGAGAGGCTTCTCTCATGTCCTCGCATGAGGAGCTGGAGCTGATAGAGGGAGCTCATCCGCCTCTCCCCGGATTCGAACCTGTGACCTGTCGGTCTTCAGTCCTGCCGGCACAGGGGTTTAACCCACTGCCACCACCGGGGGCTCCTGTTACCAAGTTAACTTATCCCCAATTGTAGAAAAAATCCTGGGATCTTTTACCTTAACCCTGTCCTTTTATTTTTCAGAAAGAGCAGGTCTTCCCCTATCTAAGCTCAAAATTAGTTTTGGAGATGAAGTAATGAAACCTTTCTCAATGGCAGAGAAATCCAGAGATATTCCCTACCCCAGCAATGAGCTACTGTCTTCTAGAAAGAGCAGGTCTGTCTCTATCTGAGCTCAATGCCAGTTTCAAGGGCGAGAGGGTAACCTTGACCCTAATCTCAATCTCACTTGTACTCACAATGGCTTGTCTGAGCTTGCCTAGCTGGCCACCAGCACATCTGAGGCTTTTTCTATACTAAAGAAAGCAGGGGGGCTTTCCAAAATGAAGATCTCATCCCCAGGAAAAAAGGCGGTCCCTAGACCAAAACAACACTTTTTAAACCAATAGCTGCAAAAAGGCTTGCAGGCTTGCTTCCAGCCTCTGTTAATAATTAACTTTCTGGGTGCTGCTAAGACTGCAGCAACCCTGAGGAAAAAGCAAAGGGGTGCTATCTCAAGCAACTAAAGGGCAATGCAAGCCAAGCTCCTGGAAGACGGAACAGAAACCTTTTAGCCAATATTTGAAAATACTCAGAGTGCTCAATAACACTTTTCTTGAGCATCGGGAAGCTCTGACAAGAATGATTTTGATGGATGAAAATATTCAGGGCTCAGGATATATTCTGCTCAAAGGCCAGAACCATAGTATTAACTAACAAGAGGTGTTTCACCACAGGTAAATCCTATTCATCCACGAACTCATTTCTAATCACCTCTAATAGTGGGAATTGTGCTATGGTTTCTTAAATACAATATCATCACCAATGTCTACATTTTCAACAACAGAGATATCCAGGAGCCAACACCATTATCACCAATGTCCCTTGCCCCAAATTTTCAATGATCTGGGTGAAATTATACAAGTCTTTCCGATATTAACAGCTAGCCACCCCCTGCCATGCGTTGCTGTGGCCCAGTCTGTGTGTTTGTGTTTTGTGTGTATGTCTATGTATATGTGTATATATGTGGTTTTGTGCATGCGTTTTAATGTATCAATAGGAGTATAGTGTCAAGATCTAGGGAAGTAATGCTACCCCTCTATTCCACTTTGGTTAGACCACACCTGGAATATTGTGTCCAATTCTGGGCACCACAATTCAAGAGAGATATTGACAAGCTGGAATGTGTCCAGAGGAGAGCGACTAAAATGATAAAAGGTCTGGAGAACAAGCCCTATGAGGAGCGGCTTAAGGAGCTGGGCATGTTTAGCCTGAAGAAGAGAAGGCTGAGAGGGGATATGATAGCCATGTATAAATATGTGAGAAGAAGCCACAGGGAGGAGGGAGCAAGCTTGTTTTCTGCTTCCTTGGAGACTAGGACACAGAACAATGGCTTCAAACGACAAGAAAGGAGATTCCATCTGAACATAAGGAAGAACTTCCTGACTGTGAGAGCCGTTCAGCAGTGGAACTCTCTGCCCCGGAGTGTGGTGGAGGCTCCTTCATTGGAAGCTTTTAAACAGAGACTAGATGCCCATCTGTCAGGGGTGATTTGAATGCAATATTCCTGCTTCTTGGCAGGGGGTTGGACTGGATGGTCCATGAGGTCTCTTCCAACTCTTTGATTCTATGATTCTATGATTGTCATTTGTTGTCCTGAAAGGTGTATTGTGTCTAAATTTGGTGTCAATTGGTCCAGTGGTTTTTGAGTAATGTTAATCCCACAAATGAACATTACGTTTTGATTTATATAGTCACTTAGAGCTGATATGTGAAAGGAATAAATCTGCCAAAAATTAATTTTCCAGGGTTCAAAATTCTCCAAGAAGGCTCCTCTTATTATGTGTGAAGTAGAGACTCTTGTATACAATTTGTGTAGTGTGCCTTTGTGTCTAAGACACAATGCCATTATCTTTGTTCATACCACTGCTAACGGATTAGAATTTGTGAACATATAGAATTCAGTAGTTTGAATTCCCAGTAACCCACATGAAAATACAAACCACTTAGTCTTAAAGGTGCTACCATGTAACTTTTTTCTTTTTTCCTCACTCTTTCCCTCAAAATGGGTGTTATCCATCTAGTGAAATTCCAGAGCTCATTGGGCTTTCTGATAGTTCTGTCTTCTTGCATCCAGTGCATTTTATTTTGTAATTTCACCCATTGATTCCCCTGTGTGCTTCTGCAATATATATCATAGAGATATTTACCTCTGATTTTACAACAGTGGAGATAACCATGAGTGCATGCGGAGTCTGCATATTCATTGGATGAGCAGAATCGTTTGCATCGACATTTCCTTGTGCTGGTGCTTTTGGGAAAATCTTTAACAAAAACAAAACAGTCAAGTTCAAACAGTCAAGTTCATTATTTTCTACATTATTTGTCACTGAGAAATCCACCATATCATCATCATTATCTTCGTAAATGACAAATAGGAAAAAATGAAATTTGTACCTTTTATGGACACAACAGAGCGTAGGAAAGCTGAACAGGGCATAGGGTTACATCCTGTGCTGGATGGGGTTACACTCAGGGGCAGCTCAACCCATTACACAAAGTAAGCATTTGCAGTATAGTTGATTTTGCCCAGGAGCGCTCTTGAGGAGCTCTTGGGGGAAAATAGACCTTGACATATGCGAGTTGTAGTTATTGGGATGTATAGTTCCCCTACAATCAAAGAGCATTCTGAACTCAACCAATGATGGAATTGAACCAAATATGGGACACAGAACTCCCACGACGAACAAAAACTATATATCAGTGATTGGTTGGCGGGGGGGGGGGTGCCAAAATACTATTTGCTTACTGTTGAAAATTACCTAGGGCCGCCTCTGGTTACACTCCCCTTGAAGGTGCAAATTCACAGCTTGGGAATCCTCCTGGACTCCTGAGACCTTAGGTTGCGGCGGTGGTTAGGGGGACGTTCACACATTTAAAACTTTTGTGCCAGTTGCTCCTGTACTTTGGGAGATCAGACTCAGCCGCAGTGGTCCACACTCTTGTTACATTCAGGATGGGTGTTGTTGGTTTTTTTTGTATGTGTGTATCAGGAGTGACTTGAGAAACTGCATGTCACTTCTGGTGTGAGAGAATGGGCAGTCTGTAAGGATGTTGCCCGGGGGACGCCCGGGTGTTTTGATGTTTTACCATCTTTGTGGGAGGCTACTCTCATGTCCCCATGTAAGGAGTATAAATGGAAGTCTATTTGGCTGCTTTCCATAAATATGAAGCTGACTTTGGGAGGCTTCCCAGCATTACAAAATTAAAACGAAAAAGGATAGGTGAAGTTTTCATTCTAAAGTTTTAGACACAGGCCACACTCACAAGTCAGATATCACTTCAGAAGTACAGATTTAACAAAATTTAATACGACTTACAACACTTTTGACATTTTTACACAAGTTTATGAAAAGCATAAATCATGGGGAATGTTTCTTACCTGGATTATAGGTGGATGACAAAGTCTCATAAGTAGAATGATGCTTTTTCTTTCCTCTGTCTCTATTGTGAGTTCTGTGTGCTTTCTCTTTAAAGAGAAAATATTAAAATTTAGTCTCTCAAGATCAGAGATAGAAATCTTTTAGGCAATATTTGAAAATACTCAAACAGTGATCAATAACACTTTTCTTGAGCATCGGAAAGCTCTGACAAGAATAGTTTTGATGGATGAAAATATTCAGGGCTCAGGATATATTCTGCTCAAAGGCCAGAACTATAGTATTAACTAACAAGAGGTGCTTCAACACATGTAAATCCTATTCATTCACTAACTCATTTCTAATCCTGTCTAATAGAGGGAATTATGCTATGGTTTCTTAAAAACAACATTATCACCAATGTCTACATTTCCAACAATAGAGAAATCCAAGGATCAAGACAGGATTATTTGGTTCCATATATCCAGTATATGAAAAGCTTCAGTCAGTGGGACAATTTCTTACCTCGATTATAGGTGGGTGAGAAAGCCTCATAAGGATGATGTTTTTTATTTCCTCTGTCTCTATGATGAGTCCCATATACTTTCCCTTTCAAGAGAAAATATTAAAATTTAGTCTCTCCAGATCAGAGAGGGAAATCTTTTAGGCAATATTTGAAAATACTCAAACAGTGATCAATAACACTTTTCTTGAGCACCAGAAAGCTCTGACAAGAATAATTTTGATGGATGAAAATATTCAGGGTTCAGGATATATTCTGCTCAAAGGTCAGAACCATTGTATTAACTAACAAGAGGTGCTTCAACAAAGATATATCCTATTCATTCACTAACTCATTTCTAATAATGTCTAATAGTGGGAATTGTGCTATGGTTTCTTAAAAACTACAATATCACCAATATCTACATTTCCAACAATAGAGAAATCCAAGGATCAAGACAGGATTATTTGGTTCCATATATCCAGTATCAGAAAGGCTTCAGTCAGTGGGACAATTTCTTACCTCGATTATAGGTGGGTGAGAAAGCCTCATAAGGATGATGTTTTTTATTTCCTCTGTCTCTATGGTGAGTCCCATATACTTTCCCTTTCAAGAGAAAATATTAAAATTTAGTCTCTCCAGATCAGAGAGGGATACCTTTCAGCCAATATTTAAAAATTCTGAAACAGTGATCAAAAACATTTTTCTTGAGAGTCACAAAGCTCTAACAGGAATGATTTTGATGGATGAAAATATTCAGGGCTCAGGATGTATTCTGCACAAAGGCCATACATTTTGTTTAACAGAAAACAGAAAACAGAAATTTCTATCCGAAAATATTTTCTGTGCAGAAAATGCTATTACATGTTGGGAAATGTTCTTGTTGGGACAAAAACTGCAATTTTCCATGGGGGAGAGTGGAACTATGATTCTATTATTCTAACTATGTCAATTTTGCACAGGATCAATCTGAAACATGGAGTATTTGAACATATTTTGAAGTAGGGGGGAAACCCCTTGATTGCTTTTCAGTTTGTTTAATGAAACCGTCAAACCAGAATTGGGGGGGGGGATAAGGACATTAGTGGAATAAATATATGGCTGTTTTATATGGCCAGTATTGGCCCACATACTGCAGTTGGAACTGCATTACATGGGTGTACACTGACCATATAATATCTAGGTTCTTCTGAGTTCTTGTGGGTCAGACTACACAGAGAAGCCATTGAAATCCACAAGCATGTGGACAACTTCAACAGAAAGGAGGAGACCATGAAAATGAACAAAATCTGGCTACCAGTATTTAAAAAACTCTAAAATTACAACAGCAAAACAGCAGAGAAGAAACAACCAGGCACACCTTAACACCTCTCAACAAAAGATATTCACAGGCTCAGCCAGGCCTTCAAATGCTAATGAAGGTGGTCAGTTGAAACATTCAACCTAGCTCCAGCAGAGGAGAGCTCCTTGCCCCACCTCAGCCATTCCACAGATATATAAACCCATTGTCCTAATTCCAACAGACCTCACTACCTCTGAGGATGCTTGCCATAGATGCAGGCGAAACGTCAGGAGAAATGCCTCTAGAACATGGGCCTATAGCCCGAAAAAACCCACAAGAACCTAGTGATTCCAGCCATGAAAGCCTTCGACAATACATATAATATCATTTTGTTTGGCAGTGTAGATCCAGTCTATCACTGAACCAGAATATTAACTAATAAGAGGTGAGTCAACATAGGTAAATCTAAACCATTTACTTCTCTTTTCTTATCAAGATTAAAAGCAGAATTTCAGCCTTAGTTTCTTAAACAAGACATATCTCCAATATCTACATTTCCAATAATTGGGAAACCCAGGGGCCAGTACAGGATTAATCAAATACACATATCTTCAAATTCTATCCCTCTGAGCCCCAGGGGAGTGGCGGCATATAAGTTTAAATAAATAAGACAAGTTTGCATCAGGGAAACCATTTTTTACCTAGAGAATCAGTGGATGTGAGAACCACAGAATGTAAATTGCGATATTCCTTTTTCTTTCCTCTACCGCTATACTGAGTTCCATGCACTGCCCCTTTAAATAGAAAAAAAATAAAATGTAACCTCAGAAGAAGAGATAAATTACCTTTTTGCAAATATTGGAAAATATTCAGTGATAAATAATTTTTTGAGCATCTGAAATCCCAAAGACACAATGCCATTATCTTTGTTCATATCATTGCTAACAGATTGGAATTTGTGAACATATAGAATTCAATTCAGTAGTTTGAGTTCCCAGTAAACCATGTGAAAATACAAAGTACGTAGTCTTAAAGGTCCTGCCATGTATCTTTTTTTCTTTTTTCCTCACCCTTCTCCTCAAAATGGGTGAGTTGTTATCCATCTAGTGAAATTCCAGAGCTCATTGGACTTCCTGATAGTTCTGTCTTCTTGCATCCAGTGCATTTAATTTTGTAATTTCACCCATTGACTCCCCTGTGTGCTTCTGCAATATCAATCATAGAGATATCTACCTCTGATTTTACAGCAGTGGAGATAACCATGGGTGCATGCTGAGTCTGCATATTCCTTGGATGAACAGAATCGTTTGCATCGACATTTCTTTGAGCTGGTGCTTTTGGGGAAATCTTCAACTAAAAGAAAACAATAGTGTTCAAACACCCATCCTTCATTATTTTCTACATTACTTGTCACTGAGAAATCCACCATAACATCATCATCATCTTAGTAAATGACATATATGAAGAAATGTTGTAATGGCGCAAGTGGCGCCACATATATGTAGAACTTTAATTCGCAAAGGTTTAAACTGTGTAACATGCCCCAACTTGTCTGTTTTCTCTGTAAATGTATAGTTGGATTGATTGGTTATTTATAGTTGTCAATCAATGTTGTTTGCACCACTTGAATTGCTCCCTCAGCTCAATTGTTTGGCCCCACCTCTTCCAAGAAGAGGAGGGCAGTGTTTCCTTCTTCATTCTACCATCAGACAAATTATAGACGGACGTGAGAAAGACTTGGCTCTAAAGCCCTTGTTTAAGCTATCTATCATCACCAATTCTCAGGTTTTTACGCTTAGAATCATAGAATCATAGAATCAAAGAGTTGGAAGAGACCTCATGGGCCATCCAGTCCAACCCCCTGCCAAGAAGCAGGAATATTGCATTCAAATCACCCCTGACAGATGGCCATCCAGCCTCTGTTTAAAAGCTTCCAAAGAAGGAGCCTCCACCACACTCCGGGGCAGAGAGTTCCACTGCTGAACGGCTCTCACAGTCAGGAAGTTCTTCCTCATGTTCAGGTGGAATCTCCTCTCTTGTAGTTTGAAGTCATTGTTCCATGTCCTAGTCTCCAGGGAAGCAGAAAACAAGCTTGCTCCCTCCTCCCTGT